AGAACAATATCGATACTTTAAGGCAAAATTGGTTTAAGTTTGAGGATCAATATCTGTACTGATTGAATGAGGTATCGATATTGAAATAGGGGTATCGATACCAAGGGTAAGGAATCAATACCATTATCAAGTTGAAATTCCAGAATGCCAAAATGATATCGGCACCGAAGTGGGTATCGATACCATAAAAGGGAAGTATCGATATTGTACGAGGAGTACCGATACTAGTGTGCCTGAAATAATAAATTAGGTGTTTATTTTAGCTTAAGTTATTATGATTAGTTAATAACTAATATGAATTTCGATATTCATTTCGATTGTATTATTGTGTAGACATTAAACGAAGACAAATTCTAGATGATTCAACGTTATAAGTTAACGATCAAAAGTGATAAGAATTCATTTAGGACTTCAGTGAGGCAAAGGTGGGTACAACTCATTTGTTTTATATTAGATTCGAGGGCGGTTTGCGATAATCCAACCTCAGAGTTTTCGATCGAAAACCTTTCAATTCTTTATTGTTATATTTTTTAATGTTTTATTCAAGTTATATTACTTAAGCTGTGTTTTGATGGTTATGTGTATATGATGATGCGAATATGTGTATACGAAAAATACTTGATGTGAAAGTGCCTATGTGAACATGACACAATATGAATAAAAAAATGAGAAATAATTATGTGATTAAAACCCCAAGGTATATGTATGAGGATTAGAGGTATAGTTGGCATGCCAAGAGTCGAGGGTTATATGTGGTTCTTCGGGACAAACTTATGTGGTCCGTTGGGATAAAACTACGTGGTTCTTTGGGACAAATATATGGCACTTCGGTGCAATTATATGAGCTATGGTGATAACATTAGTGCACAACCTCAATGTACTCAAATAGCTAGATTTCTCAGTAATATACATTGGGCATTTAAGGTTATATAAATTCGAACAAGATATAAAAGTATACACTCTTGTTATGAAAAGTTATTTGAATTCCTTATGAAATGTGTTTATATAAAATGAATAAGAAACTATTATGTAGTGCTTTATTTGACTCATAATTGCCCCACTAAGTCAACGACTTAGCGTGTGATTGTTTCACACGTAGGTTTGAAGAAAACAGAAATTGAGGATAGGCGAGGACATCATACTCCTACAAATATCAGATCAGAACAATTTAAATGTCAATTTCTTATAAATTTGTAAACTGCTGGCATGTACTACAAGTTTAAATTAAAATGCTATGATCTATGTTGTAAACTTATACTTTTGTATTTATGTAAATTATTAAGGGTTTATTTAAGTGTGAATGCAAGTTTTTATTATTTACTTTAATTCAAGGGTTCCACCTTCTTAATGCGAATGAAAGTTTAAAATTTTCCTTACTTGTTAATAGTCAATGATTTGAAAAGTCAATGTGATACCTCAGACTCGTATCCGGGTCGAGTACGGGTTAGGGGTGTTACAAAATATATAAATATAATAAACGTAGATTATTTGTAATTACCTTCAAAGCAATGGAAATTGTAATGGGGTCGGTTGTGTAGGAATTGATGCTAAAAACGACATTCGAAACCAAGCCTGTGATTGTAACAATATCAAATAGCTGTCAATTTCTTATTTGTTCGGATGAACATCTTTACATAGCTTCAGGAACAAAAAGGCCAACATTGTCGATCCCCAACTCTTATTTTTAGTGGCTCGTAAATCGCGTATGTGATGCAACCACATTAGATACACTTTGTTTCGGGATTTATCAGACATCAAGATCCCCCAATAACTTTTAAAATATGAGCACAGACATATTGCTGTAAAATAAAATTAGTGTGAATATATTAAAAATTTATCGTCAAAAAATTACAATAACAAAAACTAAAATAAAGTTTAAATATTATAAATAAATAAATTAAATTAAACAAACATAGATTTAGAAAATTACCTGTTTATGTAGCAGCATCGACGGGGGTTGTGTAAAATTGTTGTCCAAAATTGTAATGTAGATCTTCCATCCATCCAAGTCGTCATCTGTCAGAGTAAGTCCGAGCAACTCCTCACACAAGCTTAGTTAATCCCCATGAGCCATACCAGTAATAGGATTTTCAACAATAGACAACCCAAGATGGTATGTGATATCTTCAAGGGTAATAGTTGCCTTCCCACAAGGAAAATGAAATGTGTGCATCTCCGGTCTCCACCATTCAAGCAACGCATTTATCAATGGAGGGTGCAACTTTGTACCATCAGTTACAGTGCCAACGTAACCAAAACCGACTTCATGCAAGTATTGAATAATATCGTCACTAGGGGCCAGGAAATGGTAAAACACTTCAACGAACGTTCATATCTCTTCAAATAAACAAATAATTTCGAAACAAACAAATAATAAATAAATAAATTCTAAATAATTAAATAAATATATAAATAAATAAATTCAAAAGAAATGAATAAATAATTTGAAATAAATAAACCGAACAAAATTATTAAAGAAATAAATAAATTTTTAAAAATAATTAAAATTTTTAAAATAAATTAATAAATAAAAATTATCGCCGGATTATCCCGCCAATAGGTGCATACATGGGGAACATCAGCCCTCAATAGTCCCGCCATAATAATATAAGAGAGAGAATATGTGAGAGAGAGAGTTTTTTTTAATGAAGGTGTGAGGAATTCAGGTGGGGGTTGTTCATTGACAGTTAAACGTACCATTTAGCCTAAACGGTTGGTTAATCGTTATAACGATTATGAGATTTTTCTAGCCATAACCTAACCATTAATAAACGGTTAATCATTAGCGATTAACCATTATTAACGGTTCAGTTACAAATTAACCTACGGTTAACCTATTACATTTATTTGTCATTTTTTTAATAATTCATACTACAAAAAATGTAAAACTTAACACATACTTACACCAGTATAAGTGAATAAAATAGAAAAATGTAACACTTAACACATAATTACACAGGTATAAGTATGTACATCTCCTAATATCTTAATATCTAACAATAAACACATAATTATATTGGTGTAAGTATGTTTTTATATTTTTTAAAAAATATATTATTTTATTTGTATAAAAATTTTACTAAAATATATATAAGTTATAAATAATGGAAAATTATATTAAGTTATTTGTGTAAAACTGTAATAAATTAGAAATATAATTATAAATTTAATTTATTAACGGTTAACCGGTTAACCGTTTATCAAAGTACGTAACCGTAACTTTAACCATTAATCATCATTTTTAGCGGTTTAGTTAACCGAAATCATTTAATATTAACGGTTCGGTTAATTAACTTGTTAAATATAACGGTTATACCGGTTAACGGTTACGGTTAACGATTCCCTTTTTTTAACACCCCTAGGGAAGAGCGGTATTTATAGTGAGCCTCGCACTGCCCTCGAAGCAAGGTAAATGGTACCTCGCGTTCCATGAAACGTGAGGTATTGAGAATCTTTTCAAATTTTAAATCTCGAAACTTCTGCGAACGATAATTTTTTCAATATCTTAGGGACCTCGCATTTTGGAAAACGCAAGATACTAAATAATCATATTAAATTGAGTAATATGAAAATAGCATGATACCTCGCGTCCTGTAAAATGTGAGGTATGATCACACACTGGATAGGACACGAGTTAGTCTTACATGTGTACAAAGAGATTATTTTTTTAACAAATATGCTAAGGGGTTATTTTTAAAAAAATGATGGGGTTTAATTTAATAACGCCGGTTTTCATTGTATTAATGTAAAATCAATTCAAAGAATATCATTATATCCCCAAGAAATTGACAAGGATATACACTTATTATAATATAATAATTAATACATTCGAGAAAAATCAATTCCTCTTAATCTTTCGTAATATTATATATTCGATAATTAACTATACGAAAAGAATCTGTCAATTGAGATTATACTTTGAAGTTTGAACTCCAATCTTAATTATAATTGGTCTAAACTTTGTTCCTAATTCTTGGTATATTTTGGAGCACAGTTGTAACCAAAGTAAATAAAGTAGGTATATGGGTGAAAAAAATAAGAAGCTAATGTACTTTTGAAAAAAAAAATTAATACGTAAATATAAAACTCAAAAAAATAAAATTAAATATCGAAATGTAAAACTTAAAATTAGATTTTATTTTAAATTTTATGTTTATAATTTAACGAATTTAACTCAAATGCATCTTGTTTCCTAATCTTTATATATTTTAGTTTATAAAAGAATACACAATAAAGAGATTTAAAATAATTGGTAGTATAGAAATTGGCCTATGATAAATCATAATTTAATGGCCATGTGAATGATGATTTTAGTACATTAAATTATATAAACAGATAAACTAAATGAAGTTTGTGTAACCAAAGCTAAACTTATAGTTGGCAAAGTACGAACCAACTTACTTCAGTTGTTAAAGAAATCATTGTTATTCTTAGAAATCACGGGTTTAAACATTAGTGACTATAATAAGATAATCGAGTATTCATTATCAAATGATTAAAAATATATAAAATAAATATTATTTTATAATCACTTAACTTATTAAAAAAAACTTATAGTTGGCAGAGTACAATAAAATTGAAGGGTGAAAGAGAAGTTTGAATTCCACGCATGGCTGTCATTATTATGGGTTTGGTTTGGTATTTCATTCCCGTCCAAGTCGCCCAAGTCGTGCCCCATCTTCAGTCTTCTCTTTTCGTCGGCATATGATAACTTTTGAAAATTGCTAAAAAAAATTATTGAACCCCAAAGCCAGAAATGGAAGAAATTACCTTTGAAGTCATACCCCCTTTGCTTTAACCGAGTTGTTAAATGAGTCTGGCTTGTGGGGGATCCCTTTTGACCTACCGTCGTCCTTTCCGGCCTTGGAAACCACTAAATAACTCCCGAGTGGCGGTTCATTATCAGTTGGGAGGAATTTTCATACCCAATGTCATTTGGATTGTTGACCATTGAATATCTGAACACCACTTGGAACTATCCTACTTGTATATAAATATAAGCCACCTTCTCTTACCATTTGGGCTTGAAGACTTCAGTTTTTCCAAGTCTCTGCGTTTTGAATCTACGGTTCGAGCTTTACACCGATGGATGACGTTGAGATACCTCAATATTTCATCTGTCCCATATCGCTTCAGATCATGAAAGACCCTGTTACAGCCGTTACCGGCATTACCTACGACAGGGAGAGCATAGAGAAATGGCTGAAGACGCCCAAGGGCATCACCTGCCCTGTAACGAAGCAGGTTTTGCCGTCCGGTTCCGAATTGACGCCGAACCACATACTCCGTCAGTTGATTCAGGCTTGGTGCACGGCGAATACTGGAGACGGTGTCGATAAGGTCCCTACCCTGATGTCTCCTTTATGTAGGATTCGTCTTCTTGAACTCATCCGTGAATTAGACGTTCCTGGTTTGTACGCAAATGCTTTGAACGAAATGGAAGTCCTAGCGAAGGACATTGAGAGGAACAAGAAGTTCATGGAGGACGCTGGTGTAGCCAAAGCTGTGATCTTGTTGCTGATAAGATGCTACAATGAAAGTAAAACGATCGGTGTCGAACAAGCTTTGAGGATTCTCTTTCTTGTTTGGACACCATCGAGTGAAATCAAGGCACTTTTAGATGAAAATCATCAGCTAATCGACTGTCTAACGTGGATTCTCGGGTGCGAGATAGAGAATCACGTCGTCACCAAGACTCTCTCAATGCAAGCGTTGAAACGGGTGATCGAGGCATCGAATACGAGGTTGTTGGAGAAATTGAAACCCGAGTTCATGAAACAAATGTTAAGGGTACTTAAATCGAGAATCTCTCAACAAGCGACCAAATCTGCCTTACAAGTTTTGATCCAAGTGTGTCTTCAAGGAAGAAACAAGACGAAGATGGTCGACGACAACGCGATCTTTGAGCTCGTTGAATTGGAACTCGAGAAACCCGAAAAGAACATATCGGAACTGATCTTCAACCTATTGGCACACCTATGTTCATGCGCCGAGGGTAGAGCCGAGTTTCTTCGCCATGCGGGAAGCATAGCGATGGTGGCGAAAAGGATCCTGAGAGTTTCGCCAACAACCGATGATCAAGCGGTTTTCATACTCTCATCGATCTCGAAAAATGCAGCAACAAAAGAAGTGCTCTTAGAGATGTTGAGGGTTGGGGCAGTGACAAAGCTGTGCATGGTAATTCAAGCAGATTGCCCAACATATCTGAAACACAAAGCCAGAGGGGTCCTCAGATTGCACTCTAATTTGTGGAGTGATTCTCCTTGTATTGATGTTTATCTATTAACTAGGTACCAAAGGTAACCTTGGTAACAAAAGTAAAAAAAAAAAGTATTACATTTTATGGTTAAAAACATCATAATTGATTAATATAATCATATCCATACTGATCAATATCAATAAATATATATACAATATTCATCAATAACGCTTTTTATATGCCAATATCAGTTAGTTCAAGTGGTAAGCAGCTTGATATCGCTTAAGTCTTGAGCTCGAGTCTTTGTGTATGTAGAAAATCCCTATTGTGGGATTCACTCATCAAAACCAGGCGTGTGACGCGGGTCGATCGGATTAGTCAAAACAAAACTTTAAAACTTGAAGGGCAAAAAAAAAAAAAGATACATCTATTTCCAATTTTGTAAAATTTTATAGGTGAAACTTTATTTTATTTTAATTTTTCAAAAGTTACTATCATTGTTATCAATATAGTATCGTTTTGTAACTAACATACAGTAAATATGAAGAATTATATTAATTAAAATTAATAAAAAATATTAATAAATAGATATATTTATTTTTTAAAAATATATAATTAAATTGAAATAAAAGTTATATATATAATTTAATTAAAATAAAAAAAAATCATGTATATAATATAGTAAATCAAAATTTATATATTATAAACAATTTTTGTTGAACGATTCATGTAAATCATTATCTGATGCGATAAGTAAGATTGTTGAACCAATTTTAAAATTTATATAATATAATAATTTAATTTTAATTTGATTGACATTATTATTTTTATAATAATTTAAAAGATGTGAACTAAACATTTCATATTCACTAATTTAATTATAAATTTAGAGATTTACAAATAGTCTAATCAATCTAACAATATATATATATATATATAATCGTTAATCAGTTGTTGGGAGTTAAAACATTTTTGTGCTTTTTATTATAATATATGATAATAACATATAATTTCACTTATATTATAAATTTAAACAAAAATAATAATAAAATTATGAATTTAGAAAAATACTTTAGCATTAAAAGGAAATGGTATTGACATATTGTACAGAAAGTATTCAGAGTTTTCAACTAACTTAGGCCTTTAAAAGCATAAAATTGGGCCGGCTATCTCCGTTCCACTTAAGCCTTTTATTTTTCAGAAGAAAAAAAGAAAGAAAAAACTTAGGCCTTTTAAAGCATGCAATGTGTGCAATGCCCATCTAGTTCAGTTGGTAGAGTACAAATTTTTTAATTTTGTGGTCGTGAGATCGAGTCCCACGGAGGATATTTCATAATTCGAAGGTTTCTACGGAAGTTGCTCTCAACTTGGCGTTGGAGGCCAGCCTATTATCATACCTCTCCCTTACCCTATTATATATGAGAAAAAAGGGTCAGCTAATTTTATGTTTGGAGGATGTAAATAAATCGAGCTTAAACGAATAAATTTGTGTTGTATTCGTTTCTTTATTTTTAAAAGTGTTAATGTTTAGTTCTTGTTCGATTAAATTTTCAATATTGTGTTCGTGCTCTTTTATTTATTGTTCTCGAACGTGTTTGTTTAACATTCATGATCATATTCATTTATACGTTCACAATCATGTTCGTGTTTAACGTTCGTGAACATGTTCATTTATTATTCATTTAGCATTCCTTTTTATATTCAATTTTTGGTTTTATCATTTACGAGTTAAAAAATGGTAAAATTACGTCACTAGTGTTTAAACTCCTTAAGATTCATAATTTAAACTCCAAAATTTATTACTTGTTCAATTTAGTCTCTACCTCTATCAGTAGTAAACAAGTTTGATCATGAACATAAACGATCGAGGCGATAAACGAGTTTATTCGTGAACATAAACGAACCGAACACACATATGTTCGTGTTCGTTCGTTTATTAAATGAACACGAAAATTTTGTACATAATCATTTATTTAACTTAACAAACATAGACGAACAGTCCACCGAACGCTTTATTTATTTACACTGCTAATTATGTTATTCAATTTTGTATGATTTCATATCTCGATACTCATCTTAGAATATAATATCTCTTTATTTAATTAAAAGAAATTTGGTCAGTGAAAAATGAATTAATATAAATAAAATTGGAAAAAACTTAAAATTCGTATTTCAGAGCAATCTGGATATTTCCAAACATAAAACTGTATTAGTCATAATAAAAAAACGTAATCCAAATCTAATCCAAAGTTTGATGGTCTAATTTTTCTTTAAGCCACTGATAGTTTTAAAAACCATTGCAATCAAGGCCTTGTCCCTTTCAAAAAATCTTGGTTTAATTATTTTTTAGGACTCAATTTTAAAATTAATGGAATTAAGCTTTTACCTCAAATTTGTCTGGTTTAATTACTTTTTAGGACCTTTAAATTTTAAAATTAGTGAAATTAAATTATTAATCTCATAAATTTTATAATTTAATTACCTTTTAGGACCCTATTTATTTTAAAATTAAATATTTCCCCTCATTGTTCAATCTTACCCCATAATGAGACCTATGCACATCCCGCTCATGGCATCATCTTTTATTTTAACAAAATAATAAGAATAATACGTCTGACTTAATGTTAACCCCTTATTATTTTAATTGTATTTAATGTGTTTTTAACAAAACAATAAAAATAATATATTTGTCAAAGTTTAATTATGTTTCTATGGTTTATTAACAAAATAATAAATTAATTATTCAAAATAATAGAATATTCTATAGGAACTTGTTTTTAAGACTTTGTTTAAGACTTGAAAAATATTTCAGACGACTTTAAAATTTTATTGTATCCGATCATGATTAATAGATTATAAACTAATAATCTTAAAAAGCTAACATTGAACTTTTATCCTTTCCTACGTCCACACTGAAAAAGAATATAACATATTTTTAAAGAATAATTAACAAAATTCTCATGGAAAGTGTGTCTCTACATTGACAAATATTTGATGCCTAATAAAATTGTATATTTCCAACATCAGTTGCATGGAGAGATCTGCTTTAATTTCACCACATGCCTGTTTCAATCTATCTACACACAATACCAAAGAGAAAAGATAAGAGCGCCGATCTCAAGAAGATGGATAAGAAGACAACAAATGTGAAGGGATACAAGAATGGTTCCTCCAAACCCTAGCATGCAATTTCAATATCTCCCTTGTCTTATAACCACTATCGATTTGAAGCACCAAACAAAGCTTTGGCACCACCACAACCTGCAACATCACCTGAAGAACCCTAGATGTTGCCAAAAACATGCATATCGACGATTGTATCCTCACCGCCCTCTCGCTCGCCGCATGCAAAACCCTAAATATCCTCTTTGACGCAATTGCTAACCCTGCTCTGTGGTTCAAGAACTCTGCCCTCCCTTCGGTGCAATCGCAGAGATGATCGAAAAAGGTCAATGCGAGCTCCGATACTCGCTTGGTCGAGCTCTTGAGGAGAAGCTCGACCAATACGAACACGACTCCTCCTTCCACAACTTTAATCCTGTTTCTTCCCATAGACAAAGCTCCACTAGGAGTTTCAATGCTGCCTTGGTGGCTTGCTGTGAGATCTGGTCTTGTAAAGTGCGTACGATCTCGGCCAGGAATTTGTTGAGTTAATCTAGTTGTCTCCAGGAATTGTCTTTGTATGTTTTTGAACTTTAAGCATATTTTAGGCGGTTGGATTTTAGAGTCAGCAGTTACTAAAAGTAGGGTAGCAATTATTTAAGTAAAGTTGATATAGTTAGTTTTTTTTTTAAAACGTGGGTTGTTATGTTAGTGGTGCAGTTATATTTTGTATTTGCTTGTATAATAAAAAACAGAAAATGATGCAGTGAGTTGAGCATCACAAATCATCTGTGTTTGTTTTGTTTTTCAAGTTTGTTACTGGCTTTAAGAAAACTAACATTTGGTATTCATAGCCAGGTTGTCAAAGCAATGGCCTGTGAAGTAGGAGATCAATCACAGACACTTGTAGTGGTCAAACCGATGGCAAGAGGAGCCTAATTTTGGATCCATATCGAACGTTAAGCGAAACGAACTACGACATATGGGCTGTCAAGATGAAGATAATCTTGCGTTCGCTAGGAGTATGGTCAGTGATCGAAGATGGAAACACAGACGACGACAAAGATCAAGGCGCCATGGTAGCCATTTTTCAAGCCGTGCCAGATGACGTGATGATGGCAATCGTTGAGGAGCAGACGACAAAGGAGGCTTGGGACGCACTCAGGGAGATGCAGATTGGTGAAGATCGCATTAAGAAGGCATGCATACAAGTGTTGAAACGGCAACTGAACAAGTTACACATGAAGGATTCATAGACAATAAACGAATTTTCCATGAAGCTTACCACACTGGTGGGTGGGATTCGCTCGCTTAGAACGAAGCTCGATGACAGCAAAGTTATTGAAAAACTGTTCAACGCAGTTCCAGATAGATTTATCCAGATTATTGGAATAATTTAGCAGTTTCGCGATATTGAGAAGATGTCAGTTTCAGAGGCGATCAGTCAGCTCAGAACCTTCGAGGAAGGGCTTAAAAGGCGACTGCACTCAAAGAGAAATGGAGAACAGTTACTCATTACCTAGGCCGAGTGAGAGGCAAGAATTCCAAAGGCAAAGAGAGATGAAGGTTCCTGCAGCAACAAAAGAGGAGGACGTCACGGGAGAGGACGTGGTCGTGGTCGAGGAAATGGTGGAGGTCGAGGAAATGGTGAACGCAAAAATGAAGACCGAAAGCCACGCAACTTCGACAAATCCAAGGTTAAGTGTTTCAATTGTAATGAATATGGTCATTTTGCAAAAGAGTATCCCAAGTCAAACCGAAGAGAGAAGGCCAATCTTGGTACAACACAAATTGATGATGAACCGACACTGTTGATGATTGAAACTTGTGTTCTCAGCCACGCAATACAGAACGAACATGTGTTACTACACGAAGACAAGGTGGTGCCAAAGATTAACAACACCCAAGACAAGGCTTGGTATTTAGATACCAGCGCAAGTAACCACATGACCGGTTGTATCAAAAATTTTGCTAAAATTGACACGACTATTAAAGGGTCAGTCAAATTTGGAGATGGCTCGGCTGTAGAAATACAAGGAAGAGGTTCAATTTTATTTGAATGCTTCACAAGTGAACATCGTGTACTTAAAAATATCTACTATATCCCAAAGTTAAAGAGCAACA